ATAGTTCAACGTATATGAAATAATTATCCATTACCACGATATGATCACCGGCAGCATCACCTGTCTGTAGTACTTCGTCTGAACTGCTCCGAGAACGGTGTATCTAAAGCAGTAGATCCTCTATCACCACCTGTATCACTTCCTTTGTAAAGAATTTATTGTGAGCCATTACTAAATACGAAATAAACATTTCCACAAACACACCTATTACAACATATATAATTGCAATACTAAAAATGAAGATATCAATTTATGTTAAATGATTTACTTCAGTTACAGGAATAAATTGTGGAATTGGATAAATTTTGCCCCACCCAGCAATGGCTCTAACTGTGAATATCATGCTTGAGCTCTGGCGGTACTTTCTGGTACCAACATATCTTTTGGATCAGTATGTGACAGAATATCATTAAAATTGTAAAATGAATATCAGGAATCAAGGTTTGTCTACTAAAAAACAAATAAATCGAGTGGAGCGGGCAAGCTGCAACAAAACTGACTAACTTCTAACAGATAAAGCAACACCTCAAAGTACTCTGAAACCAATTTTCTACCACACTGGACGTAAACTACAAAAATTAACTCCACACACTGGAGAGCAATGTATCAGCGTTCTGATCCTTTACTATAGTTGTTGACGTAATCTTGCGAGTATCGTCAGGAAAGTTGCTGGTAAATAATCAATTTTGCAACCTAAACAATGTGGTACTTATAAGTACCGCCAAGATGCGAAGGGCTAAGTCAGATTGTAGCCTGAGTAAGCAGCCTCCCTCCAGTCGCCATTTCTACTCCCTAGGTCACTGTTCTGTGTTCATGTAAGATGACATATTTCCTTCTCTCTGTCGCTTGAATACCGTAGTTTGCCCCAAGATCTAAGGCCGTATCGCTCACTTAGTAGGCTGAAACCGATGATTCGATAAATGTCGGATAACGGCCGCGTACAACACGGCAGTCCACAACTAAGTGAGTGTTCATTTGAAGTTGATACGTATGGAAACAGGAACGCAACTCGAGTTAGGGACTTGTAGAATGTTAGCCGAACCCCGTAGCCCAATCCCCGGAGTCACAGTATGCAACTTCCGTCACAACAATTAATGACCGATTAGGGGTCATTTTGAATCACATATATGGATGGATTGCATTGTGCAAACTGATATCTGCGTAAAGTCGCTCACTCCTTTCACTGCCAACACCCGTTTTCCCAAGTTCATATTCCGGCTTGCGGTCGCTGCACGTGAATTGCGCACTTTCTATGAAAGCAACTGCTAAGGACCTGAAACCAAAATTTAGAACAACCATTAGCATGCAGTGGTTGAGTTTTGTGGAGTTCTTCGTGCACAGGCCACAGTAGACAGCCACTGCGGAAGCATCGACAAGGAAGTTCGTTCTTTCAGGTCTCCCTAATATCGCACCATCACTTCGATCATGTGACAGACCTTACTGCCTCATATCTGCTCTATGTTGTATTAACTGCGAAAAAAGTAGACTGTATGCCATAACAGTTGACCATAATGCGTTCGCTTCAGTGTAGATGACGGCTAATCTCCCGGACAAGAAGTTCATGCGCAACCAACATGTCACAGCAAACTTGTGTTTGCTTGAATACTGACGTTTACGGCAGGTGCTGGAGTAGGTTATTAGAATCCGCTACGGATGTATGGGATGGAAAATTTCTCGCCTGATGCTGTTCCGCATGTTTGGTCCAGCTGTCACTGCATTTAACCTGAATATAGCGAAAATGCGCTCCATGTATAGCAAAATAGGTTCTACGCAATTTGTTTTCCAATTTTGGCTGGGGCGCTTTCGTGTTCCCGTCTCAATTGAACAAGGATAAACCAATACGTTTCCGGATGCACATGAGTTTTCATTTTTTCCAACATAATAATAAATATATTTTCTCTGATATATATACATATATGTGTGTATACGACAGCAGCGTATTAAGTTACTAGATGCACTTTACACAGACTAGGTACAGATGGCCCGGCGAGAAGAATTTGAATTCTAATCCATTCGTAAAATTGTTCAGTGATTTCAACTCACTGAACCCTATTTCGGCAGCCCAACACAGCCCAAAAGTCACAAGGGTCTTTATACTCTGACTATGGAAATCAACCGATGTCATTGGATGGCTATGATTTTCTATGACTACAGATTTGGTTCAAAGCAGCACCAGTGTTGAGCGATTCCTTGCTGCGTTTGGTGATGATGCGCCTTAAAAACCACCATGTTTAAGTGGGTTGCGGAACTCAAGCGGTGCAGGCTGTCACTGGGTGATGAGGAAAGGCCTGATCAACATGTAGAGGCCATCCCCGCAGACCACATTGTTGCTGTGCAAGCGATGCTAGAGGAGGACGCGCGCATGACTGTGCTACAGCTGGGGAAATCCACCGGGACCTCATCGGAATAAAGCCGCAACATTCTACATGAGAACATCGGTCTCCAAAGGTTTTGCGCACTCTGGGTAACTCATCAGCTCGGTGAGGACCAGAAAGCAGCTCGGGTGAATTGTTGCCGCACCATGCATGCCAGATTTGATAATGGACGTTCCAACGCTGTTTGGAAGATCCTCAGTGGTGATGATACCTGAGTGAACAGTTTCTACCCAGAAACTGAGCAACATTCGGTTCAGTGGATCGTCGTTGCTGGAGCGCGGCCTCGGAAATTCCGGCGTGAGCGCAATGTGGCCAAGCAGATGGTGGCTGTGTTCTTGCCCAAGACCGGTCATGTGACTACTTTACTGCTCGTAAGGCAACGCACAGTCACTGGAGACTGGTATGCCACGCACTGTCAGCCACCATTGCTGGAACCTGTAGCCAGGCCGTTCTTGCATCATGACAACGCACTGCACACAGTTCCCATGTACTCAGAGATTTTCTGGCTAGAGTACGCATCCAGGAGGTCGGTCACCCACCCTATAGTCCAGACCTGGCTCCGTGTGTTATTTTGTGTTCCCAAATCTTAAACGCAGGATGTGTGGTATCCGCCAAGTCTCCAGAAGCTGCCTTGGAGGCCATTATTGATTCGCTCGAAGATTTGCCCGCTTCGGCATTGTCTGGCTACGTCTCCAAATGGTTTGGGTGCATGGAGCTATGCATGAACGCAGGTGGAGAGTATCAGAGAAAATATATTTATTATTATGTTGGAAAAAATGAAAACTCATGTGCATCCGGAAACGTATTGGTTTATCCTTGTTCAATTGAGACGGGAACACGGAAGCGCCCCAGCCAAAATTGGAAAACAAATTGCGTAGAACCTATTTTGCTATACATGGAGCGCATTTTCGCTATATTCAGGTTAAATGCAGTGACAGCTGGACCAAACATGCGGAACAACATCAGGCGAGAAATTTTCCATCCCATACATCCGTAGCGGATTTGTTTGTGGCGCACGCTCACAGACGGTCGCATAATTCTGTGCTCTGTGGTAATCCTGGATTATTCCGTTCATTTTTTGTGCTACATTCTCGGAAATACGCCCATTCGTTTCGGGTCGCCGAGTTCTATCGAACGGGATTTATATTTGCGCAGTAAGTCCTCCGTCTCGCTATTTTATCCCAACCGGCGTCTTCGGCAATTCGTACATTAAGAACCACGCTTGAAAGCTTGTTTTTTGGAGGTAATCTCAGTGAATTTAAGAAACCATTCTACAGAGCTTTTCTAAAGCTATCAGGTGACATATAGCTTAGTACTGTGCACCACCATACACCATAGCTACTGGCTATTTTGTCCTTTCATCTATATTCCTTCGTGCACCCTACCACACGAAGTGTTTGTGATTCCATACACGCCTGCGCCAGGACCCATCACCACCAAACCCGGACAGCGACGGTTACCGCTAGCCGGCGTGATTTAAAGTGCATACGAGTCACTAAGCCATGGGAAGGCGAAGTTTATCAGCGGGTCCACGCGTGAACAAAACAACGAAGGTCAATCATGGCTCAAGTAAGCGGAGAACTGTCATCACAAAAATCACGTGCTCTTTGTGTGCAAATTCTTACGACGAAGTGGACGTGAACTCAGAACTTGGCGGAAACCGCAGCGTAATAACAAATAGTTTGTGGTTCTGTGATGCGTGTTCAGATAGCCCAATAGCCAAGATTATCCGAACTCTCAACGCGAGGTGTGAAATGTTGGCTGTTGCGTCATCCGAACAGAAAGAATTGGTCAAGGCTTTGGGAGGGAAAATCGCTGAACTCGAGTTGCAGCTTAGTGTATTAAGTAGCCCTAACCCCAGACCTACCAAAAGACCAAAGTTATCCATTAAAAATGTTACACGTTCCGGCGAAAAACAAGCACCATTAGCGATAAACAACTGTGATGCCAAGCCAGTTGAAAATTCTATAAAATCTTCTGTTGTACCGCAAGGCGTAAAGAGTTATGCACAAATTGCACGATCATCGCTATTAGCTGGGCAGCACATTACAAACTGTGTGAATAACGTCGTTGCACAGGAGAATTCTTGCTGCAGCCTTGACTTGTCTTCCCCACAAGACAAGACCAACACTCCCACACGACAAACCTCCACCCAAAAAGAACTGCAACAAACTAAATTACTACGCAACCAACAAGCGATGACAGTCATATGTTCAAACGTACCAGAACCCACCAGCGAGTCGTTAAAAGGTCGACAAGCCGAAGAGCAAAATCGCTGGACTGAGATAAGCTGCGCACTAGGACTAAACGTTCTCCCAACTAGTCTTACACGTCTGTCACGAAACCCATCGTCTCCTCACGTAGGGGAACCTCGGTTACTGCGAGTAACATTTGGCAACACAAAGGACTTGGAGGATGTTCTCTTAGCAAGCCACAGTCTACCGAACTCTTCTCTCAGTGCCCGAATTTTTCCAGACATGCCATGGAAGGAAAGACAAAAGCGAAAATCCGACCCAACCGCGTCTCGTCAAAATGTAATGAAGAAAGTGGTGTTGGTTCATGGTGTGCCCGAACTGAAACATGGCGACACCAGTGAAAGACAAAAACACGATATTGATGAGTGGCGCTACATCACAGAACTCTATGGCATGCAGAATGTTGTGGCATTCGACGTCAGCCGCTTAGCTTCCTCCCCAAACTATCAAGGGAGCGGGCCGAAAATTTTGAAAGTTACCTTGGCTACGCCGGAGATGGCATCAATGGCAATTAACGTGTGGTACCACAGCAGAAGGCTAGGACCACCAGAAGTACGACTGAGACCATTCCTGCAAGCAGTACAGACCACTGGTACAGTTGAGTCAGACCTGGCTTTTCCGACCATAGACCAGCCAAGCGTGCAAACACTCGTGTCAAAAAACGTGGGCAGACCGGCACTGTTTGTGCCGGTCAAACACAGCGAACCCACCTCCTAATGCGGCAACAAATGCAATGCTGCTACACAAACGCCCAAGGGCTTTACTCCAAGTTGCCGGAATTGCGCCATCGGCATGAAGCAGCAACTTGGGACATCATAGCATTAACTGAAACCTGGCTCTCAAACGAGATTTTGGATCCAGAAATTGAACTTAGTGAAATGTCAGTCATTCGAAATGATCGTCCATCTCGCGGTGGTGGCGTTGCTATCTACTACCGAGATCACCTGAAATGTGAAGCTCTCACTGAGCATTCCCTTATTATCCCCGACGCCTTATTTTGCCGGCTGCAGCTATCCGGTCCCGATAGTTGTCCTCAGAAGAAGACACATGATGCTTGCCTCATAGCAGTTGTCTACAGGCCGCCGAACTCCTCCGCCGACAGCGATGATATTCTGTTAAATGCTCTCCAATATGCTATGTCGAAAAAGTACTCACACTACCTAATAATGGGTGACTTCAATGTACCGTCAATAGCATCTGTGTTCCCAAGTGGGCCATGCTTCAAATCAAAACTCCTTGAGTTCTTGACTATGGCAGTTTTGTATAACCATGTGGATCAACCAACCAGACACCGCGGTTCAAACAAGCCTTCAATACTTGATTTAATCCTGACTAATGAGGAGTTAATGGTTGAGTCGGTTTCATACAACCCCCCGCTAGGTTGTAGCGATCATTCAGTTCTAACGTTTGATTATGTGTGTTATGCCAGTATGGTTGACAAAGAACCAGAAACCCGACGATTCATCACCAACTATTCCAAGCTTCACACTATAGCGACAACCGTTGACTGGGACCTCCAGATGCACACTTCGGCGAATGATGCCTGGCAAGTGTTGAAAGGCAAGATAAACTGGGTCCTACAATCAGCTTCAAAAGACGTACCATTACGAGTTTCGCGACGGAGCAACAACTGGATCCGGAGTAGAACACGTAAGTGGTTGAATAGGCGAGACGAGGCTTGGAGGGGTCATTTGCTAGGTCCAAGTGATATCACGTGGAATCATTACAAAACAGTCAGAAACTACTGCACTTCACTCCTTAGGGCTGACAAGTACGAATGGCAGGAAACTATGGTACACAAATTTACTAGCAATCACAAACTGCTCTACCGGTATGTGAATGACAAAAGGAAGGTTAAGACGGGAATACCACCACTAGAGACGGTCAATGGCCTAACGGTTACTGAAGAGGAGACCGCGGACGCATTGCTCATGCAGTTTGTCTCAGTGACTAGACACACCATGGAACCATCGCCTTGCTACATCCCAGCAAATGTCGTCGGCTTATCCACGGTCAACTTTAGCCCTACATCTGTGGCAAAGAAATTACAGTCGCTCAGGGAAAATAGTGCGCCGGGAATTGACAAGATTTGTCCGAAAGTACTTAAAACCCTTGCACCCACCATGGCAGTCCACCTTGCAACCTTTTTCCAGTTTCTATTTGATTCTCATACACTTCCGTCTGAGTGGAAACGTGGACTTATCACTCCGATATACAAGGGAGGTAAGCGGTCAGACCCTGCCAACTACCGACCTATTACTCTCCTTCCTGTTCTATCAAAAGTGATGGAGTCTATAATCGCTGATGAAATGGTGAGATATTTTGAAAGTCTACAAATCATCTCCAACCTCCAACATGGATTCAGACGCGGACGATCTTGCCTCACCAATCTACTACTTGCTCGGGACTCATGGACCAGGGCTGCTGACGAGGGAGTTCCCGTAGATGTGATTTACTTAGACTTTTCTAAGGCATTCGACAGAGTCAATCACCCAGCACTTCTCCGAAAGCTTGCGGCCTATGGTATCCACGGATCCTTGCTTACATGGTTGGAAAGTTACTTATACGACAGAAGAATCGAGGTAAGGATCGCCAACACCCACTCCGATAGTCTATGCGTCACTAGCGGCGTACCGCAAGGATCAGTTCTCGGCCCGTTACTCTTTTTAGTCTATATCAACGACCTCCCTGCCAACATTCAATCACCTATGCAAATATTCGCCGACGATGCTAAGATGTGGCGAGCTATTCAGTCAACATCTGACCCTGTCTATCTGCAGGATGACCTGAACCGGATTCACGAATGGGCAGTAAGCAACCAACTACCCCTGAACCCCGAAAAGTGTCACCTGTTGTCGCTGCGCAGTAACTGCAGCAACACATATCACCTGGGGCAGCGCGTTATAAAACAGGTGAGCAACGAAAGAGACTTAGGGGTCATCGTGCAAGAAGGTCTGGGTAATTCGCTCCAATGTTCAAAGGCAGCTAACATAGCGAACTTAAACTTGAGGCTTTTGAGGCGAGCGCTCGGTACCTTCGAGCGGCAACTCGTGCCATTATTGATTAACGCCTACATTCGTCCCCACCTCGAGTATGCGGTGCAGGCATGGCGTCCGTGGTTAAAACGGGACATTCGTCTCCTGGAGCAACCACAAAGAAGAGCCACTAAGGCAACACGTGGTCTATCGGGCCTTAGTTATGAACTGCGCCTTCGTTCGATCGGTCTGTACTCCTTAGAATACCGACGACTTCGCGGTGATCTGATCCTCACTTACCGGATACTAAGAGAAGAGGACCATCCATGTAAGTCGCTGTTAACATTATCTGCCGACAAACGATGCCGAGGCCATGCACTAAAACTTGTGACTCAATATTCCCGTTTAGATTGTAGAAAGTTTTTTTACTCTCTTAGTGTCTGTCCGCACTGGAACGCACTGCCATCGCATGTGGTTAACGCACCAAACATCGAGACATTCGAAAGACTATTGGACTTGCACTTACATGATACACATTATATAACGGTATGACAAACTGCAGTGTCTAACTTACTGATATTTTTGTGTCACACCTGAAACTTTTGTTTTCTTCCATTTGCCATCCTGTGGGTCTTGTAAAGTTATTGCTTTTTATCCCACCATACACTATTGAACTATTGAACTATTAATAACCTACTCCAGCACCTGCCGTAAACGTCAGTATTCAAGCAAACACAAGTTTGATGTGACATGTTGGTTGCGCATGAACTTCTTGTCCGGGAGATTAGCCGTCATCTACACTGAAGCGAACGCATTATGGTCAACTGTTATGGCATACAGTCTACTTTTTTCGCAGTTAATACAACATAGAGCAGATATGAGGCAGTAAGGTCTGTCACATGATCGAAGTGATGGTGTGATAGTAGGGAGACCTGAAAGAACGAACTTCCTTGTCGATGCTTCCGCAGTGGCTGTCTACTGTGGCCTGTGCACGAAGAACTCCACAAAACTCAACCACTGCATGCTAATGGTTGTTCTAAATATATGTATCGTTTGTTCTGCTCCAAAACGCATAAACAGTTCTGATTTGCCGCGTTTCTAAGTAAGTCCCAACCGGTAAAGAAAACGGAGCGCTTTACCGCTTTGAGTTCCTGTGATACTTGCCAGTATCTCTTGTATGAATTCCATTTTACGACAGGTTGCTTGCGGACTGCCCTTCGATGTAGTTTAAAAGTCCGGGAGCTGGACACCCGTGGTCGTCTACCCAGTTCTGTGCTGGTCATGGCTCTGTTATCGAACACTAAAATTGCATCTCCTTTTGAACAACATTGTTGCGCCAATGTTGCTCCTTACTTGTACGCCATTCTGTTGTATGAAGGAGGTTGGTAACTGTACTTTAATCCATCCCAAGGTGCGTTCGTTCTATTTGTCTACTAGGCACATACTAAACTCGTCATCGGTCTCATGTCAAACTCGGCCGAAATGCAAGTACAGAAGGGAAATCGTTAAAGTTAAGGAAGCAGGCTATTCAATCTTGAATACTGAAACACCCAGGTGCACTAGCTACGCTAGGTGAGAAACTATAGATTATGTATATGTTTTCATGTCTTAATACGACACTTTATCTGATTCCCCAAACTTCTATTGATGCCTCAGGGTAGTACCCATCATAGTTAAGTCACAAATAGTTCATACGGAAAACCAACAAAATACTGCCATTTGTGGTACTAGGTCAGATCTCCATTAGTGTATACGCTTAACTTTTGATGCTTACAGAATCTGTAATCGGTAACAAAAGTTTGATACTTGGACTCCCACTTAGGTCGATGTGGATGTAGCGGGCCACTAGCTTAGTCGGTATTACAAGCCCAGCTAATGTGCTGAACTGGACGAACTAAGTACTGGAAACAGGGAATAGTCCCCAAAGCCTCCAAGAAAATGTCCTGCACTTGGTAAGGTCTCCAACATCTTTGAAGCTCAAAGCGTAGTCTTCTAAGCTACACTGGCTGAACGCCATTAAGATACAAACAGATTGAGAAGTAAAGCACACTGAGAGGTCAAAAATGATAATGGTCCTTAATCTATGCGCTCGAGCCCAACTTCTATCTACGATATAAGCGCCGACCTAGAAAATCTTTTCCGTTTATAGACAGTGAGGTTCAACTTCGACTCTTATGTCTAAAACCACACTGACGTACCCAGCTGGTTTCCAATTCTTGTAATTTCATCGCATCCATACATGTCATAATGCCTGCTTATTTGTCGACCTGTATAGTTGATTCCCCATGCTGAGGCTGATATCGCATTCATGATGCTTCTTCACCGCAGTTGGGCTAAACCAACTTACACTTAAACTAGGTGTTTTTAATATGGATAAAATTCCTTACATTTTATTCGGTTTGTTCTGCGTACTTGATAATCTTCTCCCAACTTACACACATCGCTCATGCAAATTGTGGTAAATTTGCGTAATTTTATCGCGTGGTATGTTTTGAATAACTTTCGGACATTTTGTACTTATCACAGATTCACATTTAACCAATTTCTTCCATATGCTCATTTAGCGAGTATTTATGTCGTCATATGCGTTTACTTTATTCGATATCGGCAATCCGAATGAATGGCTGTTGTTTGACATCCCAGGTGTGGCTGCGCTTGATGTGCATGTTGACAAGGTGCCTACCTGTCTATTACCCACTACCTCGTCCATACTGGCTCCAGGAGACAGTTGGTCGTTGCTGGAGGGGACGGGTGCACGGTCCTTGTGGTCGTGCTAGGCTCGAAGAGTGGTTCCATGCACTTAGTGTAGATCGGACTACGGTCCAGCCACCGCCTTGTGTGCACTTGATTCCCCAAATACAGGGTGCTTGTGTTTGCCTGTGAAGGAGTGTGGGCCGGCTCCGTTGATGAAACGTGGTTCCCATCCGCATGCCTCCCGGTCTTATTCCTTCGGGTTTACACTGGATATGGGGTGTGTGGTTGGAGCTGTGTGTGGTGCAGCGCAAGCCATCCATGGTCCCTCTGTAGGCGCAGGTGTCCTGTGGCTGGCCACAGTCACAGGCAAATCCGAAACCGGATGCCGCCAACCATAGTTGATTCCTCTGAAGGCATGGGTTCAGCAATTCTTGGTATATAACACATTTTTTATACGACTGTGCTGCGCTTGGTAATGTCTGCACAGCAAAAGACATAGCAATTGCTTTGTGCGGTGTAGCGCAATATACTGGGTCAAAAAGAGTAGTAGCGGAATTTCCCTGTCTCGCTAGGGGTTATGTAACAAGGTACTAAAAGTTATGCGTGCTTCAGAAAAGGTCACGCTTTGAACAGCTTAACAGCAACTTCCTCTATGTGTTAGCAATGGCTTTCCTGGACATTACTGCAAAAGAGTCCGAAACAGAACACGAAGTGAGCAAGCGACACCCACTATTCATACGCTTCAAATATCCTCCTAGTGGTCCAATCGACTGAAGTAAATTGTGCTTCTGACGGAGATTGTTTTGCGCTCTCCATCCAACCAGTGGTAAACTCAAAAGAACCACTCCAATCAGTCATTAACCAAGAATACAATCTATGGCCTGCGCGACTCGGTGAAATAAGAGTGGAAGCTTTGGCTGATATACCAATGCGGTTGGGTGGTTGGTGTCACACCCCCGCCATCTTTCCTGCGAAGCGCAAACTACCATAAGACCGGTAGTATAGTACGAGTCACATCCACGTTCTTCATTACATGTAATCAGGTACAGACATCAAACCTCTTCATCGAAGGACATAAATCACTGCCCTATCGCTTTTGAAAGTTACGGTGATTTTCAAACAAACGTACCTCAACTCGTCCCGTTTAATCAGTTATTTAATTAGCATGTGAAAAGCACTCAGGCAGTATCTAGTACATAATTGTCATAGAGATGAAAATGCGTACGATTAGAGAACAGTCTATGTTTGCTTTTATCACAATCTCTAATTACCTTTTGGCCTATGTCCTCCTGCCCCCCCCTATTTCTTGTCCCGTCTAGAGTACTAAATTTACTTCTCGGTATGCAAAATCGTCCGTAACAGTATTTACAATGCAGCGGCGCCGACCGTTGTATGCTCAACACACTCGTGCACATCTATGCGTTGCATTTGCAGTTTTGTTGACACACATTTTAACTTGCGCTTTTAGGCCAGAATAAACTTTCGTGTCTTCTCTGCCGGAAGTTAAAATTCGACACTGAAATCGTGCTGTTCCGTGTTTTGATTGATTGTTTGCGATTTCCACTTACGGCAAATCACCGCGACGCACCTCGAAGATGCGCTTGCCTGTTTTGATTTTATCTGTGTGTGTATGTGTGTACGCTTGTGTGAAAATGTGTGCTCGCCCCCAGGAGGGCGCGTACCGGGATGAGGTTGCAAGATTGCGTTCAATTAAATATTACTGCAGTTGTTGTACTCAACCATCGTTGTTTCTTGAGTCGTTGCACTGATTCGCATGTTAATTCAGCAGGGACGGTTCGGCTAATTAACCGAATTGATCTGCGTCTTTGGCCGTCGGTAGTACAAATTACGGTCTACCCAAGTTCGAGGAGAAAGGTGAATTTCACTGCCTCAAGCTCTGTTACAGCCACATACGGATTCGTAATACGTATTGAACCATCATGAAAAAGTGTAAAGAATCAATGAAGCTGCTTGTTGTTTTTGTGCAATCCGGTTAGCCGGTTAGTTGGATCAATTCAGATGTGACGTCTTTTGCCAGTAGAAGTCAACCCAGAAAAAGTGTAACAACAAATACTCACTTGAGTTGATGTTATACACTTATTCGCTTGTCTCTTCTTGTCGATGCAATGTGTGTAGCTCACTCTGTGCAAATCACCTGTTCACAGTGCCTTGAATATTTTCCGCCCCGATGTTCTAGCGCCTAGACCTGGCATTTTGTACACTTGTGATAAAATAGATGGTTGTAAAGGTGCTGAAATGTTAGAAAACAACTTCGGAATTCCTCATGGCAGCTACGATGATGCTGCTTCTTCGTATTTATGTGGATGATACCATTTTGCTTTATCGAAAGCTTTAGCGAAGTTATTAAAAGCAGCACCGTTTTGGAATGATAGTCATTACTCATCAACTAATCCAGTGCATTCAAACAAAATAGCCGTAGTGCATGACTCGGTAGTTTGCAGGGCTTCAACCTTGGCACATCTGGCAAGCTAAGTATTCCCTGGCGACAGGATTATCTTGGCAAAATGCTAACATACGTCACTGGCTTCATTTAACCTACACTTTAAATGTACGCAAGGTCAGGACGGCTCAAACTTCTTTAGGCAGATCAGGCATCATATGACTCAATTTAAAAAACCTAGATTTAAACTTAGATAATCGCGCTGTATTACTGAAAAATTCGGACAGTTACTTAGTGTTTTTAAATGTTTATATTAGGATTTCATGTTGTCGACATTACCTTTTCAATAAGATTAGCTGCATCTCAATATGGGCCCTATAGCATATAGTTTCAGGGAGGTGGATGTTTTGGGATCGTTATCATCGTACCGTGTTGCGGCGTAGTGTTACTTTAGGGGTGAACTTTAGTGGTTGCCAAGTCGCACTACGATTATCAGCTAAACTGCGTTAATTCAGTACCCGCGCTCCACTTTGCTACCATTAGCCACCATATTACCTCAAAACGAACTAACCCCCATTAAGCCCTGCA